CCCAGTGCCAACAGCTGAAGCCTCCTTGTTCAGCTGTCACTAATTAATGTCAATGTCAAGTGGTGCTGCAATTGAAATAGCTTAGAGCTCCGATCTCAATTCCAACATCTAGTTCAAATACGGCAACAAATTAAGTTACTTTGCAATGGACTTTAACCGCATGGCAAAGAAACACATTTAAAGTATACGCATTTTGACTAATTACTCTCATTGTCAAGTGTTCTTGTGATTAAAAGCAGCTAGAATTTGTTGGCTGCACAAGCTAAATGGGAGCGGACAGTTGTATGGATTTGCAATGAACTTTAACTTCATGGTAAATATTTACATGTATATATAAGGTATCTATGTATGATCTATGTATTTAATTTGTCCATAAAATGTTAACAAATATTTATTTAATATTTCACTTCATTTCACTTCGTTTCTAAAAACTCCTTTCGAGAGTTCAATAATCTGGCAACACTGGAACAACTGTTAATCATGCTGTCTCGCTCTAATGGTTGATATTTCAATTAATTGAATTTCAATCTTAATTAAAGTAATTCAATACACAATACACAAAAATACATATGATGAAATTAATTTATTGTATAATTACAAACTTGGCAATAACACAAGTGAACTCATTATGTAATGAACGAACCTTTGTCTGATGAAAAAAGAAACAAAAGCAAGATGAAGAAGAAGCAGAGAAAAAGGCGGCGAACATCATAATAAAATTAACATTAAAGTGGCAAGGCAAAAGGGATCATAAAAATGAAATCAACGTATTAACTACATGCCAGACAGCAGCATAACGCACAGCCACACAACCATAAACACACACAGGCACACACACACACAGGCACACACATTTATAGTCATAACAAGCTCACGCCATATCCTCATCCAGCAGCTGGGCAGATAAAACGCAACGAAATAAAATCAATTCAAATAAAAGCATAAATACGACCACAGGAAATGAAAATGACGATGACTCCGTTGCCTTGCCTTTGTGCACCCCAACCCCCCCCCCCCCCTCCCCCAGCACCAACGGCACATTCCTGACGCACCCTTGCGCGCACACGCAGCGCCCAAAAGCGGCCCCCTTAGGGTTGGGCCTGCAGATGACTGTAACTGTTGTGCTCGAGTGTGGCGGTTGCGGGGCGCGAGCGGTGCGGGCGAACATGTAAGCGCACATTTTACGGCACAAGCATTTTCGCTTAATAAAATGTTAAGTGGGGGAGAAAAAGGGCGGCAGACAAAAAGCGACAGCGCCACTGCCAAGTTGACTGTGCGTGTGTGTGTGTGTGTGTGTGTGCCAAAGGACTTGCAAAGGAGGAGCGAAGCGACAGATAGACAGAACAACCAACTGGCCGACAAACTGACTGTCAGCCAAGCAGCGGCGCAGCCAGAGTCGTAAAATTATATTTACAACACAAACAAAGCTGTCGACAAGGCAGCAGCAGCAGCAGCAGCAGCAGCAGCGACTGCGACGACAAGAGCGAGGATGAATACAATGATAAGCATGAAGCGGATGAGACACACACACACACACATACACACGCGTACATGTGCGCCCGCTCTCTGCCTGTCCCACTCTCTCTCTCTCTCTCTCTCTCTTGAAGCGCCTGCAAAAAGGGCGCCGTGTGCTTTGTTGAGCGCCAGGCAAGAGATGAGACCGAGGCGCCCAGCAATTTCCCGCACTCAAAAAATAACAATGGCGCGTTGAAAATATCCGCTTCCGCTACCAAAGGCAAAAAAAAAAAAAAAAAAACCTGCGAGTGCGAGCGAGAGCGCCAAGCAACGCAGCTGCGACTTTAACTGTTGTGCGCCAAAGCGAGAGCGCCGCAAAACGTCAGAACGTGCGACAGGCAGGCAACAACACTCCGCAAGTAACAACAACAACAAAATGTAATATAAAAAAAAATGTAATTCAATTTAAGCACAATGAAATCATATTTTGCAACAAAATGTACAAAATTCAGTTTTGGCCCTTGGAAGCTGACAACTTGAAAATGCTTTTCATTTGTTCGCTCGGGCATGTGTCTGTGTGTCTCTCTCTCTCTCTCTCTCTGTGTGTGTGTGTGCGTGTGTGCATAGCTATGTCAGCTGGCAATTCCATTTCTATTAGCATTAGGTGGACAGCCCAATAGTGTGGCAGGTGGCTGTTTGTGTGTGTGTGTAGGGCGGCTGCTGCGCGTGTTGCGACTAGAATATGTTGGCATAAATATTTATACGCTTGCAGCGGGCGACACAAACACAGGCACAGTCGACAAGCCAAAGCACAAATATGCAAAGCTCTACGCTCTCCGTGTGCGTGTGACTTTACTTTATGTGCACAGTATTAGCTCGCTGGAAAGGAAACACGCTTACAGTGGAAATGAGGAATATGCATATAAAAAACAGCATTTGGTAATATGTTTAATTAACTTCAATTTTTGATCAATTTTTTAACTCTTTCGACTAGCAAAGCTTTTGGCCACCAGCAAACACTTTCTTTCTGTCCGTTGACTGGTGGGTTCACTGTACCTGTGTGTGTGTGTGTGTGTGTGTGTGTGTTAGCTTGTAAATCACATTACGCCCGCTGGCACAGCTTTGCCACCAAGTAGGCAGCCAAGGATTCACACACGCTCAACGTCCTGCGGCTGACTAACTGTCCGTCCGTCCGTCCGTCCGTCTGTCTGTTTGTCCGTCTGACTGTTTGTTGTATTTGCAAATGGCAACTTGGACTTGTCAGGACTCGTTGCTGTTGTTGCTTATGCGCCTTTTGCCAGTTTTTGTCTGTCTTGTTTATTATTCATGCTGTGTGCTCCTTTACACCATTACAAGGACCTCTTGTGGTGGAGGCTGCGCTCTGTTTAAATGGCGCATAAAATATTAATAGCTTCATTAGCATTTGCACAAATTTCACATAATTACATAATCAGACGAGTGGGCAGGCTTAGCAGGGGGGGGGGGGGGTAAGCGCAGTTGTGGGCCAGCAAATCGAAAACGATGTGCAACATTTTGTGGCAACAAAGCCGCTTTACAGCATGAATTATATACAGTTTTCAAACTGAACGCCCACACACAGGCACAAACCAGCCGGAGTCCTTTTTGGCCAAATTGAGGTCCCTTTGCCGAGGGCACTGAGCCATAAAGCGAGCGCGTGTGACGATGGGCGGGTTGCGGGGTGCGGCGCTGGGCGGCCGCCAGTTGACAGCGGCAGCAGGGCATTTTGCCTATGAGCACGCCGGATTTGAAATATTGCCAAGCTGCTGGTTGATGTGTGAGACTGTTCGAGAGAGGACGAAAGGGGGGGGGGGGGGGGGGGGGGGGCGGGTAAGAAGAAAGAGATGGCAAGCAATAAAATGAAAAATATTTCAACTTTAGCGAAAAGCGCACAAGGATATCAATTCCCAAAAGCACACAAAAATACACAACTCACACATGTGTGTGAGTTGCGTGTGTGTGTGTGTGTGCGTAGTCAAATCCAACTAGAATCAGAATCACAGCAATAAAATTGAAAGAGCGTGCACGAATGCCAATAGAAAACAAGCAGCAAAAGCACTTCACATGGCAGCAGGCGTGCGGGGGGCGAGCGGGCGCACTGGCAAAGGGAGAGAGTCGCGCAGTATATTAGGTTGAAGCACAAACAAGTTTTTCGGCACACAAATGGGACATAAGAGGCAAACAGAAATAAATAATAAAAAAAAGGACGAAAGCAGCAACAGACAACGTTTATTTGCCTTTTTGCATCAATGGCAGCAAAGGCAACATTCAAATGAGGAGCAACAACAACAACAACAACAACAGCAAGAGCAAGAGCAATTGCCAGACGATGATGTCTGATTCGTGTCCAATTGGGAAAAGCTTTAGAATGTGTCATCCGATATGTAATAAGCTTGGGCACGTGTCCTGCCAAAAAGGAAAACAATATTACGGCAGTCAAAGTTATACAAAGGTCAAACGGAACATTATGGCTTTATTTTGCGCCTAATAAATCTCATTATGTCATTATGTGCTCGAGCGCAGCAACAACTACAACAGCCATAACAAGAAGCAACGGAGGTAACAACGCAAGCAAAGCAGAAGCAAGGAAAAGAAAAGAAAAAAAAAAAGTTGCCTACGCTGCGCAGTCGACTGCGCTGCCGGTGTCGTCGTTGAAACGGCAACAGCCAAACGACATGCCAATCAGTAATCAATCCGCACGCACATTGACAACGAGAACGTCGCCAGCGCTGCCGCGCGCTCCTCTCATCGCCCGCAAAACAATTTGCAAAGGCAACACGAAGTGATTGTAATGATTTAGACTGCTAAATACCCTGCATGTACAAAATGCAAACGAATTAATCCCAGCTTAACTGAATGTTTTTTTTTTTGAATCAATTAAAAATTATTTTCGCTGCCGTAGTCACCTGCCCACCTGTTTACTTATTTTTAGCAGATGTACATTAAATTCATATAAATTATATTAATCTAATTGGATTCATGTTATTCTGGCTTCGCCATGTAGCAACTTAATGTTGGCAATAAGAAACTCGAAAAAAGGAGCAGCAGCAATGCTGGCAAGTGAGACCACACGACGTCACAGTAAACAAAATGAAAAGAGATAAACATAGAGCGGCACTGCGCAACATGGCGTCAGCAGCAGCCAGCAACACTGACGTTGAGCGCGAGCGAGAACGAGAGCGCTCAGAGAGCGAGCGCACAGCAAAAACGCCGCCATTAAAGAAATTCCTCTCAGAGAGCGCGTCGTGTATGTGCATGGGAATGCTTTAGTGTGCGGCATGCGTGTGCAAATGCCGCAGAGCTGTCGAGTTACAGACAGTTTTATGGAAATAATAGTTAAACTTACTTAAAAATATAGTTAAAAACAACATGTTCATATTTGCCGTACTTTGAAAATCAGTTTAATTCGATACATTTTAAAATGAGCCAAATGTTTTGTTGATATATTGGCTTGTTTACATGAGTAGTTTGTCTGGCAACCCTAGATTGCGCGCCGCTGTGTTGCCAGCGAGAGCCGCTCAATTTATGCGCTTTTTGTACGCGTTGCTCCTTCGTGGCGGACAGTACGGATGAAACACTGTCGACGCAAACTAGGCGAAAAATTCTATGAGAAATAACAAAAAATAATAAGAAAAAAAACAATCCAACATTCTTAGCATAAATTGAGTGCTAAACCAAAAGATTTCCATGAGCAATTAGGCAAAGGTATTAAATCATATTTTATGCAAATAATAAAGTGCTCATATGTGTATGTGTGTGTGTGCGTGTGCAATAAATTATTCCAGCAACACAAAAGAAGTGTTGAAAAAAAATTGTCGTTCGTCTTTGCCTCCTCTTGTCCGTGTGCGTCGCGGTGCGTTTCTCGTCTTGTGCGTTTCTCGGCGTATGTGTGTGTGTTTGTATGAGTGCTGTAAGCAATTAACCAGCAGCAGTGTAGAAATGCCAAAAACGCATTAAAAATTATTACTCGTTGGCTGTCTGTCATTCACAAGAAACAGCAGCAACAACAACAATAATACACAAGTGCTATTTGCCGCCGCTACTCATAAAACAAATTACCCACTTGGGCTTGACTGTTATGCGTGCGTGCGTGTGTGTATATATATATATATATTTATATGTGTGTGTGTATGTGTGAAAAGAGCAGCGTAATCATCATCATCAGCAGTCGCTGACATACAAGCAATGCTACACAAACGCACAACATATATATATACTACCATACAGCAATACTGAAGCGAACAAAAAAGTAGTAAGCGCTCGCCGCAATAGTAGTAAAACGGCCAAAAAGGCAGTGGCAATATGTTGCCACCAACAACAACAACAACTACTACAACCACAGCAGCCGTATAATACCGGAATAAAATTTCTATACAGCGCGCTCGTCGTCTTCTCTCGCATGAGCAGTGCATCTGTATGTGTGCGTCGCTCTCGCTCGCTCTCTCTCTCTCTCTGTGTAGCTCTCGCTTCTACGACTGCACTGAGCGACAGTTTATATTATTTTTTTTTCGGTTATAGCAACAATGTTGGGCAGCAGAAGCGTCGCAGCGACGTTGTTGGCGTTAAGGCAAATGTTTGTGTGTTTATAAATGCGACGCATACATGTATGCGCACGTATGGCTGTGTGTGTATGTATGTGCGTGGTTTTTTTTTATGTTTCGCACAAACATTGCGGTAAAAGAACGCCGACAAACGTTCGTCGCTGGTCGCTTAGTCGCTCTCACTAACTGTGACGTCTGCGCGCGTGCGTCGAGTCGGTCGGTCGGTTTGTCTGTCGTTCGGTCGGTCATTTTGTTGTAAAACTAACTCCCCCGTGCATTTTTTACTTCGAGCTCTGCATGTGTATGTGTGTGTATGCGCTCCAAACAACATACACACACAAACACGCCGCGTCGCGCGCTCTCGCTCTCACACAAAGTGCCGTTTTTGTATTTGTAGAAAAAAGAAAAAAAAAAAAAAGAAAACAACTAACCTCATAAAAAAGTTCATGCAGTGAAAAAAAAAAACAAGAAAAATTGCCAGCAGCATATTTGTCAAATAAAAAAAAAAAAAAGTAATAACAGCAAAAAATAAAAGAGTGTGCGCAATCTCTACTCTTCTCGCTCTTGCGCTTACATAAATGGCAAATAATTCTTGAGATTGGCTACAACAACAACAACAACAACAACAACAGCTACGACGTGAAAAGGAAAGCTCTGCCTACAACGAAAATTTTTGGATTTACATTTCCTGTGTGCAGCAGCAGCTACGTCGCCGTCGCCGTCGCCGTCATCGTCGTCGTCGGCGTTTCTTTTGTGGATTATTACAACCTAAAAATCGCTGCTCACTTTGCGGGCCGCACGCTCTCGCTCACTCACTCACGCTCGGTCTCTGTCGCACGCGAGTGCAAGGGTCGCTGCGCGAGCAAGCCAGCAGGCAACGAAAATCCTCGTTCGCACCTTGCTCCCCACCACACGCTCACCCAACCACTCACCACTCACCACTCTCACTCTCCCCCAACGTTGCCGCCAACAAAAACTAAACAAAAAACAACAGCAACAACAACAACGACTGCATGCTGTCGTCTATGAAGCAGGAACGAGCATATCAACAGCAGAAATTGCGATTATTTTGGATTTATAAAAAGGCAAGTAAGCAAACCTAACCAAACACTTCTCATATATATGTACACATATATATATATATATTTATGTATGAATGTGCATGCATGTGTGAGTGTGTGAGTGTGTGAGTGTGTGTGTGTGTGTGTGTACATGTGTATATTTGTTTAATGTGGCATGCTATAAATCCCAAAAGACGGCCTCCCGCCGCCTCACGTTTCTGCTGTGCACAAGCGAGCTAGTTGGCTGCGTGCGGCAGAGCGAGAGCGGGCGAAAGAGTAAATTGATTTCCAGTTTGATTAATTGCCGCTTGCTGCTGCTGCTGCTGCTGTTGCTGCGAGGCGCATATTTTTTTTTTTGTTTCGGTTTTTTTGTTGCCTCAAGTTAATGCCAATTAAGGTGTTTCAATTTAAGCCGATTTGTAATTAAATGGGTTTTTGTTTGATTGACCCCCTCGCACCCCGCCAGCGATTAGAAATTGACAGGCGGCTGCGCAGCAATTTGGCCATAAATATGTATAAACATGCTAAAAGCATGTCAAAAATATTGCCATTTTCAGATTTATGACTGACGATTTAAATTGTTGCTTTCCGTTATTGAACGTGGGAAGTTTGCTCTTTAAGTACTGAGGGAATTATATTCTTCTTCTTATACATATGTGTATGTGTGTGTGTGTGCATTCAGACGCGGCGGTGACAAGCAAATGACGGCTCATTGAGTTTTTATTATTACGAATTTAAAGTGCACGCGCACGCACACACACACACACACGCACAATGAGAGAAATTCCCATAAAAGGGGCGTCGTCGACAAACAAAAGGGACGAACACAGCAAATACATGCATAAATACAAATGAAAAAGGAATCACGCTGCCTAATGAAGCCTGCGGCGCGCAGAACAGTCATGTCGGCCATGTTGGGGAGTACGAAGCGACCGACCGAACGCCGAAGCGACCAAACGACGAAGCGACCGAAAGGCGAACGATAAATAAACAGTGTGCAGTGTTGTACAGAGTGCGGGAGCGAGAGAGAGAGAGTGAGAGTGAGAGAGGGGGGAAGGCCCAAGCGCACGTAGCTGCGGCTCCCCCTTTTGGGCGCCGCGTTAGTCTCTCTCGCTCTGGTACTCCTCTCTCTCTCTCGTTCACACTTCCACTCTTCGCATATATCTCTCGTGTTCTAGCTCACTTGCACTTGCAGAAGTGAATTGGCTTCTGCTGCGTTGCGTGTTTTTGTTTGTGTTGTTTTTGTTGCTTTGCTTTGATAAGTTTTTGCTTGGGCGTGTTTTGCATTTAGTTGAAATTATGAAATTTTAAGTAAGCCCGTGTGTGTGCGGGTGTGTGTGTGTGTGTGTGTGTAGCAGGTGGCATTTGTGCTTATGATAAAGACATTTATTCTCTTAATGACATATGCGAAATTGGAAGGCGACGCACGGGAAATTTATATGTGTTTTAATTTGAGGCATAATAAAGTTAAATTAAGTTTATCAATTTTCCAAGATTTAATTTATTGCAATTAAGTAGCACTCTTTTAGGAGTAAAATCAGAAAATTGTTGAGATTTTTAGCAATGTATCTGTATCTGTATCTTTTTCAATTATTTGCTAAAAAACCACAAAATATTACATGTTGCATAATGTGCACCTTCTACAATTAACACCAAATTCACAAACTTAACAATTCCTTTAATAGGCCGGAAATTGCCTTTTACATCTTTATTGAAATGTATCTGACAGATGCGCCGCTTTTTTGTTTTCTTTACGCGCCGGCCCACAATTAAGCCAACGAACTGCGTTAAACGCTTTGTAAACATACATAATGAAAGAGAACAACAACGACAGCCACTCATCGGATACAGATGCCGATACAGATACAGATACAGATACAGCGACAGATACAACCGAAAGATACAACAGCCGCAACAGCAGCAGCCGCAGCAGCCGCAGCAGCAGCACAATTAAGCGTCTATTAGACGCGCTCTCTCGGTCATAACATTAAAAATGCTTTACACAAATGGGCAACTGAGCCCCGCCGGCCCAAGCCGAGTCAAGCCGGGCCCGGCCAGGCAGCTGAGCAGCCGCAAAAGCCAAAAACAAAAGCAACACAAGTGTCAGGCAGAGTTGAGCGGAGGGGAGGGGAGGGGGCTTCTGATATAGTACTGCAGGGGAAAGGGTGTGGGGAGGTTAGCTGGCAGTGGCGCGCACAATCGTGACGCCAACTTAGTTACGGTCATTAGCACCAGCAGCGCCGCCAGCGACAGGCTGGCAAAGCTGCCTGCCTGCTGCCTATGCCCCATATGCATGTATTACACACACATAGATACACACACACACACACACACAGACAGACACATATATACAAGCACACATAATAATTTGTCACACTGTCGGAGTCGCTGGCAGTGCTGGTAAAAGTTGCTCGCAGCAACAACAACAGGCAAGACTTGTACAAGATACACACACACACACACACACACACACACACTCGCACACACACACACGCTAACTGACTTTTAGTTGGCGCGTTGGGAGCTTTAGCCTTTTTTTTTCTGCATAGTGTAATTGGCTTTGTTGTTGCTGTTGTTGTTGGTTGTTTGGCATTTGCCACCGTTCTGCGCCTCGAGACGATAACAATTTCAACGCTACAAATGTGTCAATTGCCTGACAAAACATTCCATGCACACACACACACACACACACACACACACACGCGCACACATATAATTATATTTAGTTAAAGACTCGGTTGCTGCCAAATCATTGCTTTGATGAGTTTCTTTTTCTGTTGTTGTTTCTGCCTCTAATTAACATTAGAATACACAAGATACGTTAGCTTAATGCTGTTAAGCTCAAGTTAACATTAACATTAGCAATATAACATGACATTGATTTGATGAGTTTCTGTTGCTGTGCTTGTTCTTCTGTTCTTAATTAACAGCATAACGAACCATATGTTAATCCAATGCTGTTAAACTCAAGCTAACATTTACCATATAACATGTGTCCATTAGTATGCTTTGAGATTACTTTCATGAGTCTCTGTTGCTGTTTTGGTTTCTGCTCTTAATTAACAGCAAAACGAACTATATGTTAGTCCAATGCTGTTAAGCTTAAGTTAACATCATTTTAATACATTCGTATTTCATTAAATAGATTCCGCTGCTGCAATTGATTAACAGTCAAACAGCTTGAATGTTAAATGAACTCTGTTAAACTAACAGTTGCAAGCTGTTAAGCTCTTGCGCTTAACATGAGAGCTGTTAGAATTGCCTAGTTCTGTTAGCATAGCATAGAAATAGCGTGCAACAATTGTATTTAAGCCAGAATTGAATTTTCCCTCAACCTGTATGGCTCTTTAAATCGTTGCAAATGTCATTCGTATTGCTCCCGGTAATGCTCCATAATAAACCAGTCACAGACACAGTTGTTGCAGTCACTTAGTTGGGCCATTTGTCAGAGCCCCGCCTCGGCGACACGATTAAAGCAAATTGATTTGTTCAATTCTCATAAATGTCTGACAGTGACAAACGCCTTTTGTTCGTTTCGCTCGTTTCAATACGCCCATGCAAATTGACTGCGAACTTTTCAGTTTGCAGCACAAATTTCAATTGTGCAAAACCATAAAAGAGATAATAAGAGCTGAAAGACGAAGAAAAATAGATGACTACCATTATAAACGAGCGTACAATTGAATACGAAATATAATATTGAGCTACTGTTAAATATTTATGATATCCAAAACTATGTTAAACGTTTGAGTAACTATTTGAAGAACTTGTGGGATATAGCAGGGGAAAGAGATGGGGAACTAAGATGAAGGGATTAAAAATGAAGCAACAAAACTTAATGTTATTCTTCTATGTTAAAATGTTTGCTGGGAAAAAGAAACCAGAATTGTCTAGAAAGTGGAACAGATGTTTGTTCATGTGTTGGATAAAGTTATTAGTTGAAATGTTTGTCAGGAAATAGAAGAAGTTATGGAAACTTGATAAGCCTAGAAAATAGAATAATCGTTTAAACTTTAAACTTTACCCTAAGATAGAAAATTCTCGTGCAGATGCGAAGATCGAGGAATTTTCTAGAATGCAAAATAGTCTTTTTTCTTATATATTTTATTTCCTGATCTTTTGCAAACAATATTCAAAAGTAGAGCTTCTGGCAATCGAAAATTCCGTTTGCAATTGAAACAAACCTCGGAACCAAAGCAAAATTCCAATTCGCGGCCAACTGTTCTAATTATACAAAGCATCCATTCTAATTGCGTCTAATCAATAACAATTTCAAATTGTTCGACTTGATGACAAGTCATTGCAAATTTTTCCATTTAAAACAATCAAAAAAAAAATAATAATAATAAAACACAAATCAAGCAACAGATAATAAATTGAGCATTAACAATTTTATATTTGCAAAGATTTGTACAACATTTCATAATAAACGAATGTTAAAGGCCGACTG